TACGGTACTTCGGCAGTTCATCTGGTGATTCTGCGGGTTAGCGAGAAGGTTAGAAGAGCAGATGATCACCGTGCTTAGCTGCAAAGTGAGCGGGAGGCAACAGTGGCAGGTCTGGTCCTGCCCTTCCTGGACAGGAGCAGTCTGGCCACAATATATCCTCAGTAACTTTTATAAAATAAGAATGGAATAATTTGCTCCTCTCCCATAAAAGATGTTAAAATATTCTACATGTCTGTAACAGACATGCTGTATTCCCTGTTTAACAGCTGGGAGTTAGACTACACAGAGGTGTATTATCTACCCCACTACCATAGAGTAACCTATGGTAGAACCAGAGATTAAATCAAGAGTGCTGGATTTTTGAATGCATTAAATAAATGCAGCAGCTGTGGTCTGTGGGATCTGTGATACTCGAGCTCCACCTGAGCAGGTTTCGGAGTTGGACTCTGTCTCTTTAGAAGTAATTATAATCAACCAGCATTCAAAAATGTAACTTTCATAAGACATATTTTATGCTAAATTTGAAATTTTAGTTCAAAACGAGACAGAATTATGTTAAATCTTGAGAATCTAAATGCACCTGAAGTTTCAACTAACGTTGGTTTTCATGTCCTCCAAACAAAATTGGGTATTTTTGCATAAATTATCATATATATTTGTTCATTAACTCCCCAAATATTTTTGTATATATTATTCTGATTCAATTACCAAAAATAATCACTTTCAGCAAGATAATTCTTAGAGCAGTTAACTTTTCTCTACTGACTTAAATTTTGTAACCCAAATTTGGGAATACTGTGGGAATCTATATAGCTGCCATTCTTCTTCTGAATAGCTTTTGCAAACTAAAGAGAGGATATGCATCAAACGTGTCTTTCTCTTGAAATTGTCTGGTGTGATAAGTGTCCTGAGGCCCCAGACTGGGACATTGGTACCTCTTCAGCAGCCTGAGGATTTCTACTTCTTATCTAAAACTGATAAAACTTTATTAATCCTCAGAGGAGGCTGAGATTTATGGTCCAGCATAATTTCCTAAGATTCACAAAGGTTTCTTCTAGGTAATCCTTTCTAAGCCTTTCCTATTAGGTATAATGCTCTGAGATTACTGATTTCCAAAGCTTTGCTTTTCCTGTGAGGCAAGTTGTCCTTAATCAGAGCACCTGAAAGGGAACTTTTAAGTATCTCAATCTTGAACTGATTAATAATAGTAGCACCGGGATTGTTTCTTTTTGTCCTTGCAATGCAGAATATTTTTAAATGTTTTTGTTGTGAGGAATGGCAATCTGCTCAAAGATCAGAGTTTACCTTGAGGACTTTAATACTGTGAAGTTTGTTGCTGAAACAGTTCCTCTTGTCCAAGGGGTTTACACATTTCGTAGATGTCTGGCCTCTTCAGTGCAACAATATCCATTGATCCATCCAGCCTTGCTTTCATAGGCCCTGCCTTTCAGTCCGGAAAATACTGTGGCAACAGCTTGCTCTCTTTTGAGTCCTGGCTGAAATTGCTGCTCTTACATATAGTTTTACGCTTGAAATACATACGTTATATCAAGCTATTCAGACAGAAAAGAAGAAACAGAAGTAGAATCTAAATATTAAAAAGAAAACAAATGTCTCAAAGCATCTTTCCAGGACAGCCCTCAAGGTATTTTTAAGCAATGTCATCTTTCCCACCTCAGGCTGCTGACCCACAGCAGTGCTGTGGTAACACAGATTGAACAAGCTGATTTTTTTCCACGTATCATTGAAGAGATGTGCTCATGACTAATTGCATAATTATAAATAAATAAAACCTTACACTAATCTTCAGGATGTCAGGTCTTTCTTTAAAGAGTCGACAGACAGCAGGGGAGGAGGAAAACCCTCTGGTATAACTTTTCTTCCTTCCCACAGGCACTTATGGCACTGGGAAAGCTGCAGCTGGAAAGGAGATGCTGGGTCTCCCTATGTATTTTTAATACTCGATTAGTTCTTTCTGTGCTTTTGTTAGTCAGCTGTTCTACCTAAGCCAGCTTTCCTATAAGATGTCTTTCTAATGTACAGCAGCTGCTGTAATCACTTCCCACCATCTCATGAAACATGCAGATAAGTTGGGAAATAACAGAGGATAATTTGAAAAGACACTATCCCATCACAAATCAACAGCCTCAGAAATGGGCTCTGGGTCTTGTCCTCCAGAAAAGTATCTGAGAACTCATGAGGCAACTTTCTATCTGATAAAGCTGACATTGACAGGCGGCCTCTAGATGACACTGTAATGGGACAGAATTTCTAATAGAAGGGGTATTTCTAACAATCTACTTTTTTAAAGTGAGATAAATCAAGTTAAAGTGCAAAGCCGGCTGAAAAGCTAGCATTGTAAGGAAAGTGATCTCATGACAGGCAATTGGGATCCATAAATGTTTTAAAAATAAGGTCAAAAATTCATTTTAAATAGGCCTGCTATTCTCTCATCATCCATTCCTCCCCCCCTGCATCCATTTTCCAATTCTCCTCTGTTCTTCTCATCTGTTGCTGGATAAATTTTTTGCTCTCTTGCGCCTTCATTCTGCTCTCCCTTCCCCACAGTCTGTTCTTTTTCTTGTTGTAAGTAACTGAATAATTCAGTTTAGTGTGTCTCCATGAACAGGCACATGCTTATAGCACTGTCTGAGCTGTAGAGCCAGATCCTTTGAAATTCTTTTCCAATTCTTTTGTGCTTTGGTTTGTTGTTGAGTTCGGCATCCTTTGGACGCCTCCCCACCCCTGCCACCCCTCTTTCAGGTTTGTAACTAGAATAAATGATAAGCCAAATTCTGTGGGGTGAATCATGGGGCTTAAGGAAAGCCTCAGCTAGTTAACCAAAGGACAGGCTGATGCTAAGTATAAATATTGTCTAGGAAAATGAATGCCTGTTGTCATCGACATAATGTGAGATTACCTTAAAATTTTCTGACAGCTAGGCTACGTTGGGAAGTGTCAGCTCGAGGCAGAGTTTAGGCATGTGCGTACTAAGACATGTCTTAGTGGGATGTCAAATAGTCAAAGCCCTCGTGAACATATCCCATACAAACCTAATCTGGCTCTACAGAAAGAGGCATAATACGTTTATGTTAGTATTATCATATACTGCAGTATCAGTCAGGCCCTGAGAGAACTGTGTAAGCAATAAGCTGCAACAACTTCTTCTCCCTAGGAGTTGGAGGGCTTTTTCATGGGGCACTTTTTTTCAGGGCTTTAGAGCAGATCATGAGAAACAGCAAAGGAGCTGTCAAGACAAAGCCGTGAAGTTAGCATCCGCACTTGTATTCAAGGGCATTTAAATAATGAGGAATTAATCATCTATTTGAGGATTTACTTGGATTGTCTTACAGACTTTGTACAAATCCAGTTACTTAAAACATCAATTCTTTCCTTCGTCGTGGCAATAAATTCTTGAAACTTTATCTTTTTCACGTACAGTCAAGGACTGCGTGTAACACCAGCCACATTGCAAATAGTTCTTCACATGTTAGTGACCGCCTCTGCTTCCCTGTACCAAACCTTGCGTTAACTGGTTCTGAAAGCCATTTCCTTATTAGCCGACCAGATTTGTAAGATGATATACCTAAAGATATAAGAAAACCTGTATCTGGATAATAGCTGTGAACATTTTATTTGAAACAAATCTGTAATGTACTGAGTTTTGTCAGTTCCCAGTTGAGAGTGTGAAAGAAGAATCATGTCTGTCTGAGTTAAAGGCCAAGTACTTTATTGTGTGCCTGGCAGGGATCCAAGCCTAAAACTCAACTAGAACAAAAAAAGGAGCGTTAAGAACTGCATTATTTTTCCATAATGTGTCAAAGGGTTCTACACTAGCTGCAGGATGAATAAGGAGCTGTTTGTGCTTTTCATGATCAATTAATTCCAGGTTCAGGATGTTGCGTTTCAAATAGGTTAGGTTCCCAAAACGCACAGACGTTTGTGTTGGACCATGGTTAGAAACCAAAATTCCAGCTTCTAGAATAATAACATTCCTGTCTTCTAGCGCAATGGGAGAAGCTGACAATTTTATGTACTATGAAACTATATAGCTGAAAGTGCTGTGAATTCCTGACTTTCTGAGCCCACAGACTATTAGTAGAAAACATTGAATTTAAAAGAAAAAAAAAAGGCATAAAGTGTAGCTGTTTTGAAAAACATGTATCAGAAGTATTTGTGTGTCTGTTATTAAAATATTAAGTATATAACATGATTTATTAGGATGTATGATAAACTTAATTAAGATTTTTTTATGATCACTACTCTCTGTACGATAAAGATTTCAGATTGAGGTGTATTCTAAAGAGCTATTCAAACTAAGGAGAGGAGTTTTAAAATTTACAGGCTGGCATTGGAGGGGAAATTATTTTGGAGAAATCCCTGCCAAACCTCGTGTGAAAAATAAACTATTCCAAATGGCACATGCAAGGAGAGCCAAATTCAATTCCATTAATACTACTAATAAAGAGTGACTCTTATAACTTGTTTGGAGTCATTCCTAATCACATAAAGGTTGAATTTGGCATAGATATCTGAACCAAAGGGGACTCTGAAATGCTCATGTCTTCATGCTAACACTAGGTACACACTCTTGCTTACCAAGCGAAACAATTCTGGTGCCTTATGTCATCTTATCAAAGCTCGCTGATTATACCCTACCATATTATG